TGACTCTTGTACTGTCTAACAAAAGTAATTAATCTAATTCCTAATAATGAACTTAGAACTGTGAATAAAACAAGGACACTGAATAGAGAAAGAGCAATAAAAACCCATACTTAAATTATACTAATGCTGATTTGGGGACAAACAAATGTGATTTAAAATAGTTACTATTGCTGTGGTTCAGAATGTGTTTCCAATTTTTTTAAACAACCTGGCTACAGATGTAGCCCCAGGCTGCATGTTCTTAAGTGGCACTATCTTGCTTGTTGGTGAGCTTTTAGTTACTGTAACAAAATACCTGAGATAACCAACTTATAAGAAGAAAGGTTCACTTTGGTTCACAGTTGTAGAGGTTCCCCACATTCTCCACTACCCCCACCTTATCCAGAAGCTAAGTCTGATTCCAAGTTTTCTTCTCCACACATTTTGAATGCCTGTTCCATATCACCATAGCTTCTCCTCTCCAAGCTCAATGACCCTCACCCTGGCTGTGCAAGGGAATGGCCTAAATCCAGAAAGCATGATTTAATCTTTCTGGATTCTGGTCTGGGAATCTGGAGTTTTAAAAAAAAACCCAGGTGATTTTAACATGCAGCCAAAGTTAAGAACCATTGTCCTAGGATGACTTTGATAAGGGAGAGCCAGGAATATCAGTAAAATAAAACACAGTGAAACCATCAAAACCCAAATGAGGCCTCAAATCCACTCACCCAAACATGTAAAGGCAACAGATGCAACTGCAGGACTCCTGCTACAGCCTCTCTCCCTCCTCCACCATGTCCCTCTCACCAGTACCCACCTTTCCTGTCACCCCTTTCAAGCCAGTCTTCTGGCCACCACGTTCCATTCTGCACCTATCCCCATGTAGAAGCCCCTAGTTGTCCTCCCTGCCTCTTTGTCCTTGCTCCCTCTGGCCCATTCTGAACAGCACCACCAAATCAGTCTGCTCACGGCTCCCTTCCTGGACCCTCCAAAGGCCTTTTCTTGTTCCTGTGCCTCAGTTCCTCAACTCGGTGGTAAAGGCCTTGCCCAATCTGTTCCCGGCTGTCTTCTTGGCTCTAATGTCTCACTCCTATGTAAGACGGAGCCTCATCACTCTGTTCCAGTCAACTTTGGTGGGCTGTAATTCCCCCCCTTCAAAATGCTCTTCAAACTTCAAAATCCAAGGGAAACAGAAATACAAGGTAAGTCACTTGTCCCAGATTACAGTTAGTAAGCAGTAGGATTTGGATTTCTTCCCCTCACCCACTGAGGTTGAACCCTGGGGAGACTTAACCCTGAGCTATATATCCCCAGCCCTCTTAAGACAGTGTCTCACCAAGTTGTGGAGGCTGGCTTTAAACTTACAATCCTCCTGTCTCAGCCTCCTGCTCACTGAGATTACAGGAGTGCACCACATGCCCAGCCAGGATCTGGGTTTCAGTCCAGGTTTGGTCTGTATCCAAGCCTTTTAGACCCATTCTCTTTTTGGAATGTTGCCCTCTGTATCTACCTGTGGAGACCATTCCATCCTTCAAGGCCATTTCATTCCTGAAGTTTTCACTGTTTAAAGAGACTTTTTCTGTCTTCTGAATTTCTATCTTAAGAGATTTTTTCTGTCTTCTGAGTTTCTATACTACCTTAATTACAATTTTACAAAACATCATGACTACAAGGTTATGTGATGAGTTTCCTAAGGCTGAAGGCATTGTCTCATGGTCTTTTGGTTTTTATAAAACCACGCATAGCTCTCCACACCCTGGGCACGCAATAGAGACCTGGTGAAGCCTTTCCACATTCTCCACGCCAGCCCCAGTGGGAGATCCTTACTAACTTCAGGCACAGAGACCCTGTCCCTGCCCTGAGCACCTTGCCACTTTCCTATTCTATTGTATCCATTTTCCCATTCAATACCACAAGTCCTCTGCCAACTGCCTATAAAATATTTTGCAACCTGGGAAGGGCTCTGCCATCTGGTAACTAGGCAACCACCAGGAAGATGCAAATCATGATAAATAGGAGTCATAAAACCAAGGACAGCTGGTTAGTTCTCTGGAGCCTGAACCATAAAATGGAAATCAATGTTTGGGTCAAATTCTCCTTTCAGGCCTTCTTCCCTGTGTCTTTGCTTTATGTTGAAAGGAACAAGAGGTGGGGCCACAAGCAGGAGTGAGCAAAAGCCAGGAAAGGGACAGGGGCAAAACTGGTCTGATGGCTACTCTCTCAAGAGACAGCATTCTAGGAAATAATAGTCCTCGTTTACAAGAAATTATACAAGGAGCACAAAGCAGAAAAAAGAAGGGAGGCAAAAACAGTAGCCCCTTACTCAGTCACCTCTTCTACCTCTGCAAGGAGGCAGTTACAACCCTCCTTGCTTCTCTCTACCTGGGTTCAGATGGCACTAACATGCTGTCCTCGGCATGTTTTGCAAAAGGTGGCAAGTACAAGATGAATTTTACCCATTCAGTTTAGCACTGGATATACCTAGGGAATTAGGAAAATTGGAGGGTGAGTCTAAAACAAACAGGAGAGTAGGGACCCCTTTCACCCAGTGCCCACATCGCTGGCCACTCTCATTCTTACTGCTCACATCAAAGGAGAAGTTGCTAACAGGAGGAGTCATTGTCCTGAAATGTAACTGGGTCCAAGAGGAAGTCCAAGTTCAACTCCCTAAATCCCTGGGAGGTGAAGGCAGGAGTGAGGAGTCAGGGTGCCCCCTTTGACCATACAGCCAATGCCTTCTTTTTTTCTCTCTCCTTTAAAAAATTTGTTCTAATTAGTTATACATGACAGCAAAATGCATTTTGATTCATTGTACACAAATGGAGTGCAACTTTTTATTTCTCTGTTTGTACACAATGTGGAGTTGCACCATATGTACAGACATATATGTACCTAGATATCTCATTCTACCATCTTTCCTACTCCCATCCTCTTTGCCCAATCTAAGTTCCTCCATTCTCCCCCTCACATACAACCATTATGGATCAGCATCCACTTATAAGGGAGAACATTCAGCCTTTGGTTTTTTAGAATTGGCTTACTTTGCTTAGCATGATAAGCAAATGCCATAATTTCATTCTCTTTTAAAGCTTCTTTATCCATTCATCAGTTGAAGGGCTTCTAGGTTACTTCCACAGTTTAGCTTTTGTGAATTGAGCTGCTATGAAACATCCAACGCCTTCTGTTTGGAATGAGTCATTGTCAAAGCTGGAAATCCCACCAACACTACTCCAGAAGCTATCATGTGTCAGACACTGTTCGAGGGCTGGAGATCAAACATGAAAACAAAGCAAAAAAGGCACTGATCCCACTCTTGAGAAGTTTACAGTCTCATGGGAGATGTAGAAATAATTTCCACTGACTACGGTGTTCTACAGGCAGAAGCTCAGATTCTGTGGAAATCAACATAAAAGAGTCTATGAGAGCAGAAATGAATCAGAAGAGACAAGCTCTGAAGAGATGAGGTCAGAGCTGAGGGCCACAAATGAGGAGGAGTCAGTATCTTGGGGGAGGAGGGGAGAGAGAAGGTGTTCCTCACTGTGAACTACGGTGAGTGAAGCCCAGAAGCTATGTGACACCTTCTCTCCAAGCAACAAAGGATGTCCTCAAACACTCTTATGTCTGCATTAATTCAGGGTGAAGGATGAAATGGTGAAATGCAATTTAAGTGTTGAACTTTGAAGAAGTATATTAAAAATAAACCCATCACCACCTCTGAAGAAGAAAGATGGATAAAAGAGAACAAAGAAAAAGCCATTTGAGAGTGGGTTTCATAATTCAATCAACATTGCACTCTCCATGGTGGGATCAGACTCCAGATGGCCCTCTAGTCATAAAGCTGGTGTTTACCCCTAAATCATATATAAGGCAGATGGGAAGCCAGCTCAAGAGCACATACATGTCTGTTGTGTAAATTCTTAACAACGCTCATTAAGTAAGAGATGATGTCACAGGCAATAAATCCCAGGAGGGCAGGCCTTTCCTGGCCAGGCCGGCCATGCAGGACAGGGCACCCAATGCTGTCTAGAATCAGGTCTTGGACCTCATTCCCAGCTGCGCCTCTGTGAAACGCAGCGATCAATATGAGCTCCTTCCCAACCCTCTCCCTTAAAGACTTGGGTACATGGGAGGCCCAAATGTGAGACCTGGGCAGGACGAGGCAGAAGTAGCAGATGCCAGAAAACATTTCTGTCACGAACTGAGCAGTTTTTATCATTGTCTTTTTCATTTCCTTGCTCTATGACTTAGTTTCATCATCAGACAATGACAGTGATCAATTCTGCCCTAATGCTCTTATTTAGGAAAGAAAAATTAAATAGCTCCTTGACATGGTTTGTGCTCCTTCAGCAATGGTCATATGTCCCAGCAATGTGATCCAGAAAGCTAGAATAACCCTCGGCTGGAGTAGAGGGCCTGATTCCACCCAGGGAGCATGGGCTGATTCATCAGTTTTTCATTCATTCTACAGTGGTTTTAAGGACTGCCCACAGGCAGCACAGTCAACACTAATACCTGTTCACTTTTCTTTTTCTTTCTTTTCTGTTTCTCTTTTTATTCTCTTCCTTCCTTCCTTCCTTCCTTCCTTCCTTTCTTCCTTCCTTCCTTCCTTCCTTCTTTTCTTTCTTTGTGTATATGTGTGTGCCAGGGATTGAACCCAGGAGCACTTAACCTCTGATCCACATCCCCAGGCCTTTTTATAATTTAATTTAGAGATAGGGTCTTTCTAAGGTGCTTCGGGCCTCGCTAAATTGCTGAGGCTGGCTTTGAACTGTGATCCTCCTACCTCAGCCTCCCAAGCCACTGGGATTACACACATGCACCACTGTGCCCCACTTGCCAATATTTTCTAATTTCTTTCCACATCTGTTGTTCCTAATTGATGGGCCAGAGATACTGGCCTAGTTACATGCCAATGCAAACTGTGCTGTTGGAAGGCTCCACCTCATTCCAGGCCTGCCACATGGCAAATGTGGAGCAAGGCCCATGACTGAGAAAGTAGCAGAACACCATATTCAGCTCACCTGGGGATGCTAGTCAGGTAGGTCATGACATTCAGGAAGTCCTCCTCTGGGATGTGTTTAAATCCCACAAACTCTGGAAAAGTGATGATGGGGGCACCATCCTTCCCTCGGCCTCCTGCAACAAAAATGAGTGGTCAAGACATTAGCAAAATGTGTTCATGTCACTCCTCTGCAAGTCAGAGATGTCATATCAAATCAGGAGAGATAATGTTGGCCTCCCCCTTTCTACCTATGTTATCTCAGACTGGAATTTGGAAGAAATTAACACTGAACTATTTTTTGGGGGGTGGTTCAGGAATTGAACCCAGGGTTCCCTAGCCACTGAGCCACATCCCCAGCCCTTTTTTATATTTTACTTTGAGACAGAGTCTTGCTGAGTTGCTTTGGGTCTCGATAAGTTGCTGAGGCTGGCTTTGAACTTGCAATCCTCTGGCCTTAGCCTCTTAAACTGCTGGGATTATAGGTGTGCACTACCAGGCCTGGCAACACTGCACTATTTTAAGTAGGTCTCTCTTCCCCTTCATGCTTGCTCAGCAGCACCATAAGAATTCAACTTGAATCCTTTGAAGATACTATATGTAGAAAAGGTAATATTGATGATGTAGAACAGGGAATAATGTCAACACGAATACATCACATTGCTCTTCATTTTTATAGCCAGTAAATATCAAAGGTAATATTGCTTGGTGGTTAATAGAACTCTAAAATCGGACAGCCTAACTCAAATCCTACTTTGCCACTTAATTACTATATGATTTTGAACAAGACACATACATACGTTGCTCTCTATGGATACTTGTTCCATGTATACTTCCTATATACATCCCAAATATATTGTTCCTATTATATGTGTTTAGGAAGCTTTTGATATAGGTCTAAGTAATATAAGTGTAAACACAAATGAAAAGTGCCTTAGTAGAGTGCTTATTATACATTAGTGCTCAATGAATGGTGACTTGTTGGAACTCTTATTATCATCATCATCATTATTATAAGGAGGAAATAAGCATCCATGCTTGAAGAACTTGTAAATAAGGATATAAGACATCCCTATGAGAACAAAATTATAGAAATTGACATCTAATTCAGCCATGCAGACACTACTAGATTAAACTAAATAGATTGTATTCCTGATCTCCTTGCAGCTACATGTGGCCACATGACCAGGTTCTGGCCTCATAGTTCCCAAACTGTGTGGCAGGTACCTCGGAAACCACAATGAACTCACAGGAACACCATGAATACAGAAGAGGGAAAGTCAGAGAAGCAGAGACCATGTTCTGCCAATACAATTCTAAGGAGAGCAGGGTGAAGACCTCACCATGAGGATCCAAGCCACATGGCCAACCTCATTGATGGCACCCAGGTACCATCATCCATCCCACTCTCCTGAAGTCTCTCTCGCCTGCTCAGCACCTTCTACTTATAATATGACTTCTCAGGTAAATGTGTGTGAAGAGGAGTGTGCTGCCTGGCAAAGCAGAAGTCAGCAGTGTGATTTTTCTACCTGAGTCTCTTGTAGATGTTACGGATGTGGCTCTCAGAAACCAGTCACTAGGGATGGAGGTCACTTTGACATCCTTGTCATCCAAGGAAGGCACCTTGACATCGTGTGAGATTTGT